CATCGTCATCGTCATCGTCATCATCATCGTCGTCATCGTCGTCATCGTCGTCATCGTCATCATCATCATCATCATCATCGTCATCGTCATCGTCATCATCGTCATCGTCAGCAACCAGACCTTGCTCGGAGCGGAATGGCAGATCCTGTGCCTTGGCAGTGGGAGCCAGTGGGGTGTGGAAGGAGCAGAGCAGGGCCAGCAGCAGCGTTAGAATCAAACTTCTCAACGACGCCATGTTCACAGTCAGGACCGGGCCAACTAATGAGGAATTAACCTGGAATCACTGCAGGAGTCCAGTACTGCAGCGAGCTCTTTGCCTATTTGTCCCACACACACACAAACAACCTCACAAATGTAAAACCCACTCAAATGAACACACTCAGATAGATTGCTACAGTAGGAAATGGACACCAGTTATAATGACATCCAACAGACAAGGCCCAGTGCAGAGAAGATATTCCAAGTTGAGATCCAGACACTTGTTCCCAAATCCAGGCAAAGATTATCCTTAGAAAGGCAGGTGTCCTTCCTTTAAATCTGGGACCACAACAAGACAGGGTGTCTTTTAGTCCAGTGCAATAAGAAGCTGAGAGGAGAGCCGTCAGTAACTGGACAACGTTGGAGACACAGACAGGACTAATGTGAGAGCGCCAGAAAAAGAGTTAGACCAACCTATGGGGTAAGCTAAGAAGAAGGGGGGCAGTGTGGCTGACTGACAGGGGCAAATGGTGGTGGGCAGGCCTGCACTATCCATAAGTTAAGCTAGTCACAGAAGAGGGGAGTGATCAGAGGTGGGTATAAGGAACGAGTAGAGCATACTTGCTTTTCCATCGTGATCAAATGTTCAAGTTTAACTTTAGAACAAGTGTTCAAGCAAACTTTAGAGAGGACCACATCAGAAGTAGGCCCAGGCAGTGGTGACCATATAATGTGAGAGAAAGGAGGATATATATATATATTGTATAGAAGCTGAGAATGGCCATCCTTGCAATTTTTTTATTGTAATTATGTTGAGATCACAAGTTAATATATCTCATTATCTCGAGAAAACAAAAGATTTTCTGAGTTCACGGCATAATTATGGAGAACCCGAGAACGAGTGTCTGGTTCATTTGATCATCCTTCAAGATCACTGTTTGACCGTTGGGGAGAATTCATAACTGAAGGGAAAGAGATATTAAACTCTTAGACTTATTTAGGCTATTGGTTTCCTAGCAAATGATGTGCAATACTAACTAAATATATCAGGAGAAATTATTTTTAAGAGGTCAAAGATCCCTGGAATGTCCAGATTCTTTCATGCATGACACTTCTGATCTTTGATACACAATAAAATGACAAGAAACGAAACAAAAGCTTTCCCTGACCTTTTCTTTTGTTGTGATAAAGGGCTGATTATCTTGTTATTTCAAGATAACAAAATAATTACTTTGTGATTTCAAAATAATGGCATTTAAAAAAAAAATGTATACACGGCAGTTCTCAGCTTCTGCAATATTGGTAAAGAGCTGGGGTAGTATTGGACATGTAGCTGTACACAGTCCAGACTGGTCATTTGTTACTACTTCCTTTCGGAGTAGGTGGCTGAACATTCTAGCAGGGCCTCAGAATAACGATGTTAATAGTTTGGATTGATAGATTTGGGAGTCAGTTTGTCTATAGGGTATCTGTATTGGCCAGAGTTCTGTGATATTTGGTGTAGATAAATATGTTCTCAGATGCTGAATATTAATTATTTTGGTGACTCACTGACCCTTTCCTCTAGAGTAGTATGAGCCCCACATTTCTTTTAGACAAACCCTCCAATCTAGGAAGACTTCCTTGATATTCTTGGTGACTTGGTTCATGGTAGTTTTGGTGACACCTTGAATTCTTGAATATTTACATTGGTGCTTTTCATTGGATAAGCCCTCTCCATTTAGAAGCATTTTTGTTCTCTCAACTCTATATAACCACACTGGGCATTGATACTGGACAATTCTTAAAGGTTCAATGCCAACATTTTGGATTTTGTTAATGTCAGAATAACCATGCATAGCAAATACAACAGGTTTGGGAAAGATAATTATCATCATGATTATGGCCAATACCTGTGGTAAAGGTGCTCTTCTGTAATGGGATGCTAACTTCAAGTTAGAGATGCTACATTGCCGACCCAACACCCTGACCTTAAAACTAGGGTGTGTTTGAAATGAACTACTTCGTACGAAGTGTTGTCCAGCCACACTTAAAGGCAAAAGTATTTATAGCTGTTTCAAATGGCTTTGGTGAAAGGCGGGGCAAAAAGCTTGCTGTCAGAGTGAGGGGCAAGACATAATTATTGTTCAAATGAGGATAATATTTCATTTTTCAGATGGTCCCTTCTCAAAGACACTATGGTGTCACACTCACATATGGAAAGTGACAGAAGTAGGTGTAGTAGTAGTCTAAATGAAAAAAGACAGCCCTTTTTTTCCCCCATTTCCACACACCTGCCCAGTCACTGACAGTCTTTAAAGTCTGTTTTATATTGTTCAACAATATAAAAAGGACTTAGTTTACAGCGTGCTGACCCAATTACGATCTACCTTGCTATAAAGCTTACCCTACTTCCTCCATTGGCACTGAACATCAGTGGTGCTCTCTGCACAATTAACCAAAGGGAACTTCATTCCTAGAGACACTGGGATATAACCTGTGATGATCCATGATCTTATGGGCAGATTGCCACGAAATTTGCTGAGCACATTAATGGTCCTAAGAGGATAAACCTTTTGGAATTTCAATGACCATAGGACCTTTTGCTGCCATCAAGAGAAACACTTTTAGCTCCAAGAATAGTTAAGTCATAATTTTGTTGTGTGTTCTGTCCAACACTATCACACTGTAACATTGCAGCGTGTCTTCACAATTATTATATCCAAGCTTCTGGATTGTCTTTGCAAATGTCTTATACCTTCAGTATATCCATCAGTATCATGCTGATGCAGATAGAGTGTATGCACTACCAAGGGCGTAGGCCAAACCCAGACACTGATCTCTAGTCCATCGACTTGTCTGTCCCTCCCCCTATGCGCTGCACCCAAAATAGATGGATTTGTGCAATGAGGAGTTGACAACTACTCTATTTAAAACTGCACACTGTCAGAGTCAGTGTAATGTGAGCTTCCCTGGCTCTGTCTGTGTGGGACCAGCACAGTATCGCACAGTCGCTGTCAATTCTCACCTACACATGCATGAAGAAAGAGGTCAACCACAGGAACCTCTTAAACACCTCCTTAAACTACACTGACTAAAATCAGTAAATACATGTATTCTACTCGTTTTTGCACACCGCTGTGATGCCAGTGTAGTGTACTCACTCTATCAACCTGAGTGAATCTGGATTTTTTGGTCAGTTGGGTCATGTTTTGGTGGGTTTTTGAATGTCTCACTGATGTTATTGCAAAAAACAGTTATATAATCTTTGTACATATTGCTAAGCAAAACTAAGCAAATTAGTGCTGGAACTTGTCATTTCTTGTTCATTTCCAGTCATCCAGATCTGTTCTAAATTCTCATTTAATCCCTAAGGCAAACACAACAGGTGCAATAGATGATTGCAGACTGCCAACAAATCCCAACCCAGCACATTTAACACAGAGCGGGCTATTACTAAACTTTTATCATCACCATTATCTGTCACTATTTAAAGCTTTAGATAGCACATATTCTTTGATACAAAAGAACAGATTTGAGAACAAGTTTGAAATGAAGTCTCTAAAGGTTATAGAGTAGTGGCAGTTATAAACAGCTGAGTTGGAAAGAGCAAAGAGCAGGAGATCAGATCGAGATGAAGACTGCAAAGTGGCTGAAAGTGGAGATGAGCTCAGACATGCCAAAGACATTTCTTCTCTCTTAGTTTGGACCACTGACTCTGCTTGCATTGACCCACTTGACCCATTTAGTTAACTGCTGCCACTGTTTAATTCCTCCTTCCCATACAGTCTTAAAGAAAACATGTCAGTTATCATCAGTTTGGAATAATTGCATGTGATACCATTTGGCCTGTCTGCTTTAGCTTGAGGCAGATGTTGACATCTGAATAAAGAGCCTAATGCAGGACCTCATTTAACTCCAACGTGTTAGGGTAAAAAGAAAATAGAATTTAAGGTGTCTGACAGGGTGTTGTGAGGTGAAGAGATGACAGCAAATGCACTGCATCAGCCCATTCATCAACAAGATCTAACATTCCCCAGGAGGATTCATTTGCCTCCCTGAATCTGATCCAGTGCCACATCCAACCCAAGCTCTTTCCATGTAAGGACAGTCTAAAGAGGGAAATCACTTTCCACGATAAAGTTACCTAAGGGGACTAGTGTGTGTGTGTGTGTGTGTGTGTGTGTGCGTGTGTGTCTGTGTGTGTGCATCCATGCATGAGGGAGTAAGAAGATTTATTTATGTAGAGCTGGCTGAAAACTACGGAAGCAAATTGCATTCAGATTGCATTCTTATCTCAAATCATCTTCCCCTTATTCCAAGAAAAGATCTCAGAATTACAAGAAAAGATCTTGTAACTATAAGATCAGGATCTCGTAATTGTGACAAAATATCTCATAATTATGCTAAAAGATCTCATACATATGAGATCAAGATCTCACAGATAAGAGAGTGGACAATGATTTAATCTGCTCAAATATTAATGTTACTTAATGATGATGGTATTAATATTAGTATATTGACACTGCACATGCATCTCAAGACTTTGGGATTGTTCAGGCAGAATGTCCAGTCAAGGCAGCCGGCATTTGTGTTTTGAGAAGAAGATGAAGATATATACTTTATTGATCCCCTAGGGGAAAATCTTCTTTTTACTGTTTTTTATTCTTACACACACACAC